ATAGGAATTTCAACTGTATTTTTATGTTTATTTTGAAACATCTTGTAGGCTTTATGAGTCAATGAAATATAGCGAAATTGCACACTGGGAGTGCAGACTTATCCGTCTTTGGCACCAACTCGAGGAAAGTCAGATTGAGTGTCACATGGAGACGTGTGGTGGCGCTGAAGTCAATACCTCGTGTGACCACCGTGGGCATCCAGAACTGCACGGCATCGCCTCGGCATCGAACGAATGAGTCTCAGAATCTCGTGTTGCCAAATCGCAGCCCACTCTGCCTGTAGTGCCTGTGCGAGTTGCTGAAGTGTCTTGGGCTGAGGTTACGGCGTCGCACCCGTCTGTCCAGGGCATCCCACAGATGTTCGATCGGGTTTAAGTCCAGTGATCTTGAGGGCCTGGGGAGCTCATTGATGTTGTGGTTCTGGAGGAAGTCTCAAGTGTGACGTGCTGAGTGGGGCCTGGCATTGTGCTGTTGAAACAACTCCCTCTGGCGATCAATGATTGGAAGGACGTGCGGGCATAGGATTTCGTCACAGTACCGTTGAGCTGTCAGGTTGCCCTGGATCATCACCAAATCACTTCTCCTACGGCAGGTGATCGCTCCCTACATCATAACACTTCCCCGGCCGAATCTGTCCACCTGGGGAACGCAAGCGTCGGCGAAACGCTCACGCCGACGTCTGTACACCCGCATTTTGTGCGTTTTGTTGTGATGTTTCAAAACATAAACACCATAAGACTCATAAACAGAGCAAAACCTTTTGTAAAATGAATCACGTTTTAATTCATTGCTACATGAAATTGCTATTTTCACGATGCGTTTCTTTTTTTGGGAGAGTATATGTGCTGCGGCCTTTCCAAACTGAGACAAACTTGTATTGACAGGGCCTAGGGCTTATGTGGTGATATTGGGGAGAACTTGTTATTTGTCATTGTTTGGATTTATTGATGGTGGTGATGATGATGACGACGACGACGACGGTGGTAGTGGTGGTGGTGATTATGGTTATGATGATGATGATGTGATGATGAGGACGACGACGACGATGATGACGACGACGACGGTGGTTGTGATAGTGATGATGATGATTATGGTTAAGATGAAGTCGACAACGACGATGATGATGATAATGATGATTTAGAGATTTAACTGCGCTTTCCGACATAATGCGTATTTCGCACAGGGGCCCGCTAGGACATTTAGTGTTTGATGGGAAAAGGGGTGATTTGACCAAAAGTTTGAATATTGAGATTTCACAGAAGTGTTTGGGGGGATGGTTTGGTTGGTTTGGGTTTACTTGTAACTGGGCATATGACAGACAGAGAGACTTTATTGAAATAGAACATGAAGGCCTCTGGTCATGCTCTGTAACATTTTACAATGATCAGTTATCAGGTGGTGAGGAATGGCATCTAGATGATTCGTTAACTGTAGTTTCTCACCTGGAATGATTCATAAATATACTTGCCTCATAGCCTTTGTTTTGTAGCATGTTTGGTTGAAATCAGCTGTACAAAGATATATATTTAGTGGGGTGTATTATAATACGGATTGATGTAATGGTGTCTTAAAAGGGAATATGGACATTGAATGACTTTGTGCATATCCTTGCTTCCTATCACTGACTGAGTTTAGTTTTACGCCGCTTTTAGCAATATTCCAGCAATATCACGGCGGGGGACACCAGAAATGGGCTTAACACATTGTGCCTATGTGGGGAATCGAACCCGGGTCTTCGGCGTGACGAGCCAACGCTTTAACCACTAGGCTACCCCACCGCCCGCTTCCTATCACTACCATGGCAGCAAGTATCAGTATATAGTGAGAGGAATGGCTTCATAATCTACTCATAGCACATCTATATTTATGATTTAGAATATTACTTTAATACGATTCGAAGCTTAAATTTACTTTCAATTGCTGATACAAAACATACGTGGTGGAAATTCTTAATTCCTGCATCCAGTGTTTGATATATTGATCCCGCAATCGTTGTTTTAAATTCAGGGACATGTAACGCAAAAATGTCATTAAAGTATATATTGTCAGTGAAGGGGCCTTAGTACTATCCTTCTATGCAGTGTTAAGATCCCTTCAGTGATAATATATACATTGATGTCAGTTGCTGTTTTTTATTGTTTGTTTTGTTTTGTTCGTGTGGTTTTTTTGCGCTACAATCCCCTGTGATTTAAATGTTATAACTAAATTGTTTGAAACACTCATGTGATAATGGTCCATAGAAAAAAAGCATCTTGTAGTAGAATATTAGATTTATTATATCTGAATATAACCACATTGGTTTTATAATTACTAACAGAAAGTCCCCAAACATTACTGTATTCCAATAAACTATCAAGCTGGGTTTGCAAGCCAGTAGGCGATTTATTCACAAGGACCATGCCGTCCGCAAAATCGAGTACAAATAACATAAGGTCATTTATATCTATACCTGCTAAATAATACGGGGGATAAAATTTCCCCTTGTCGCAGACCGGTATCATATGTGAAATTATCCCTATATTCAGTTTCTGTATGTTACACATGATTTCACATTGTTGTACATTGCTCGACAGATGTTAATTCATTTTTTTTCCTAATACCTTGCTTAATCAAATTCAAACGCTTTTTGGTAATCACTAAACGAACAGACTAATTTACCCTTTTCTTTAAATACAAGCTCTATTAATGTATCCAAAAGGAATAGATTGAGTAGCCTAGTGGTTAAAGCGGTCGCTCGTCACTCAGAAGGCCTGGGTTCGATTCCCCACATGAGTACAAAGTGTGAAGGCCACTCCTTGTGTCGCCCGCCGTGATATTGCTGGAATGTTGCTAAAATCGGCGTAGAATCCAACTCACTCACCAAAATGAATATTGTGTCTGTTGTATCCCGTCCTTCCACAAAACCAAACTGGTCATCTGATATCAAAGTAAACCTATCTGCCATCTTGCATTTAAAATCTTTGTAAATAATTTGTCATAACCACTCAAAACAGTAATTCTCTGAAAGTATTATGTTCATCTACAGTGTCATGCATGTACAACTCCAACTTCCAAATCTTGTCCAAATACACAGAATCTAATATCCTGTTAAATCTTCTAGCAATGTCTCCATAATCCCTAGTAGAATCTCCACATATTCTGACAGAATCATTTCCTGGAGACTCTTCTTCACAGTCTTTACAGTTGCCGTTATCTCGTTAAATGTTATTGGTGTGTTTAATGTTTCATAACAGTCAGCTGCTGCTACAGTGTTCAAGAATTCTTCTTCGACTGCGAACATTCTTTATCACATCATACAACTGTTTTGCTGTTCCCAAATGTACCGTGTTTACGAGTTTGCAGTTGCCCAAAGAAAGGGCGTCATGTCTCTGTACAGTAAATGATAGAATCCTCATAAACGTAAAGGAAGTGTCCATTTCAGTAGATCGAGTTCTTTTACAGGTACTTCTTTAAATAGGCACCTATATTGTTCACATTCCACTTCACAGATGTAGTGAGTGAGTGGGTTTAGTTGTTTAGCAATATTCCAGCAATATCACGGCGGGTGACACCAGAAATGGGCTCAACACATTGTACCCATGTGGGGAATCGAACCCGGGTCTTCGGCGTGAAGAGGAACGCTTTAACCACTAGGCTACCCCATCGCCTCTCACAGATGTAAATGGTTCATCGTCAACTTCATCGTTTACATCTTTATTTTGAATGTCACGAAAATGGGACCATGGTCAGAAAACTCACTGGAAAGTGTGATGTGAGATAAAATTAAGCCCCTAAGCAGGCCCGTCTCAAAGCATGGGCACGCTGGGTGGGTAGTTGCCCGGGGACCCCACGAACATAGGGCACCATGCTAATATGTTTATGTTATACCTGTGGGAGGCTCTGCAGGTAAGTTCATGATTATGGTTGTACGCCGCTTTTAGCAATATTCCAGCAATATTCCAGCAATATCACGGCGGGTGACACCAGAAATGGGCTTCACACATTGTACCCATGTGGAGAATCGAATCCAGGTCTTCGACGTGACGACACGTTCACAACGATTCTACCCCAAGGCCCCGGCTGCGCCCATTGCTAAAAGGCCCTACGCGTAAGCTAAATAGGTGGCACATTCAGCAAGAAGAGCCAAGTGTAATTATTACTAAATATAGAATGTTCTACGGCATGTAATATCAAACATATCCTAAGTGGAATCAATCTGTGGTATGGTCTACTTGAGAACATGGTGTTGCCGTTCGGGTTACTTTTGATGCTTCAAGCTGTCATAATAGTTACGTAATTAAGGAAGAATGTTTTCTTCTTTTGTTTTGTTTGGACTTTTGTTTTGGGGGGTGTGGGGTGGGGAGGGCAGGGGGGTATAATTCACATTGTACATGTTCCCCATAAAATCATCATTATCAGACGCGCGCGCGCGCACGCACGCACACACACACCTAGCCATAAATTATGAACGGTTCCTAAAGTGCAGGTTATTGTACTTCTTGGGTTCAGTCCAATTTGGTATTCGAACTCACACTCTCAAAAGTAGGCCTAGATGTAAAAAATCTCCAGCTCACAAAGTCAGCGATATATACCACAGGGAATTGTATTGCTGAAAATAATACGTCCTGGGCCCTACAAGCGTACACTGACTGATATACATATACATATAAAGAAGGTCCTTCCTTATATGTATATGGATATCAGTGTACGTTTGTAGGACCCAGGACGTATTATTTACAGCAATACAAGCCCCTGTGATATAACCCACTCAGACACTCTTTTCACACAGTCGCTCTATGGCTGAAATATTCCGATGCAACGTTAAATGTGACCTCACTCACTTTTTCCGTAGATCTTGTCGAGAGTAATTTATACGTCTGTATCTGTATGCATTGATCAGAATATGGGGAAGCTCCGCACAAAATCATGCCAGCACAATCGGTGTATGGAGCTTCGTTAATTTTAACCAATCCAGAATAGGCTATGCCTTTGCTGCAAATCTGTATTGTTGTAGAAACGAAAAGATGGCGGCAGGTGCCTGTCAATTACTTTATAAATAATATTGCTCTCTCGCCATCACTCAAACACAATGCTTGTTAACGCAATAGAGCATTCAGATGTGGAACTGACTAAAGAACACATCATGGAAATTGGTGATTTGCTAGAGAGCAATCAGCTCAGAGTAATTTCCTTGAGAAATTGTAAGATATCAGATGTGAACTTTAAACGATTAATGAAAAGTAGCGGCCGCAGTAAATCTTTGCTACAGATGTCCCTCAGTGTTGGAGTCATCTCCGACCAGCAAAGAATAGAACTACTTGCACAGGCTTTGAGGAAGAACAAGCTGCTGAAATCGTTACAGTACGTAACAACAGTGACTGCCCGTAGTCTTCTTAGTTTCTCAAATAGCACCTTCAAAAATATATATAACCGTAAATGTAAACACATGTTGAAGTCAATTCCTATAAATATAGTAGTAAACAAGAACTTCAGAAGTTGCTTGTTTTAGGATTACCACAGAAACTGGATATTACAAAATCAGTAACACCTTTCAGCACAGTAATGCATCACAACCACATCTCTCTATTATCAACCATTCCAGCACTATACCTAATATAAAGCTATCTGCCAGCTACTATTCTACAGCCTGAGTTTGATGCAATTTCATCTTGTCTTGTATTATCACATCATGCTTAAAATACTCCTGAAATACATTTTCAAATAAGTCAACTTGAAAGAATGGCAGAGTAATTTTTCCTTCGCTGTTTGTTGTACTATTAACTACTTAGTACTTTGTCAGTCCTATGTACATGTTGTCAGTCTAGAAATATTTCATGAGTTTAACTGCCTGTTTACTCTAGTATCCATGGTAACCCTATTGGTGATGAAGGACTGAAGGTGATAGCAGAGGCGCTCTCATACAACTCCCATGTAACAACCCTGGATGTTGGTGACTGTGACTTGGGAGATGCTGCTATACAACATCTAAGGCTTTTGCTGATGCCAACAGCAGAGCAAGAAGGTGGGTCAGCCGAAAGCAGAGCCTTGTTTGCCAGAGCTACAGAAACATCATTCGCATCATTCATTAACTTATATATATTAATGTATGATGTTAAACAATAAACAAGCATGAAATAGGTCTTTGAATGGCATTTAGAAGTGATCATTTAGATGCTCCTTAAGCATGAAATACAATTGATTTACCAGCAGCTTCTTTGGTACAAGAGCAGAAGTTTAAATACTGCATTAAAACACAGGATTACATCAATATACATTGTATTTGTTGTACTAGCAAATGCAGACAAAAAAGACAAATTAGTATGATAAGAGTTATCTATTGAATTGTTTTAAAATCTCCTGTGTATACTATATATATGCTAAACATAGCAGCATCTTTCACAAATATTTGCAAAATGCCAGCTTCCCTGATATTGGGTAACCCTATATTCTTCTGGATGTCAATAGAAAGCACAGGACCCTTTGACACAACCAGTTTTTGGAATTCACTTGTGCCTATGGTTTGCACAAAATTCATATTTGCATCTACAACTCAAGGATTTCATCCCACAAATGAAATACTGTTCAAAGCTACCCTGACTCACCCACTTACCCACCCACCCACTTATTTTTTCTCCTGAAGGTTTGTCTGAACTGGGCCTGAGTGCCAACACAAGGATCAGTGAAGCAGGATGGGCAAGTCTTGCCATGACAGTTGCCCACTCTCCAAACCTGAGGCGTATCTTCCTCGACTACAACAATTTGGGGAATATTGGGGCCAGCAGCCTGGTGGTGGGAGTTGCAGCCAACCAGCAGATAGAGGTCCTCGATCTCGAGGGCACCGGAGTCACAGAGGAGACAGCACAGGTACACTAGTCCATGTTAAACTCCAATGAACTATTTTGCTTCAAGGTCAAAGGAACTTAAAAATGTCTGTTGGAAAACTTTTTTGATTCAACTCATGAATTATCACCGACAGTGAGAAGACCAGATGTCTGTGATGTAAATCCTCAAATTTCAAGAACTTTGTTAAGTTGGAATAATTCCAGCCCTTCTATGCTAGAATCATTACATCACTTTGGGCTGCAATAGAATCATCTGAGTTCCAAAAAATATCTGCCATCTACTAATTCCAAAATGACAGCTACCTTAAATTGTGCAAATATATTATCGTCTCACTGTCAGTATTGCCTAAAAATAGACCCTTTTAAAAATGTTGTGATTTAGAGTAACATAATATTCCTTTGTAGCTGTATATGACCTTCTCAGTATCGCCTAGCGAACCTAATAAAAAAGTCTCAGATAAATATTAATTGTATCCAGTGTGCGAAATAGTTTCCAAATTTTGCTAGCCAGTCGGGCTAGCTATGCCTGAACGTTACTAGGCCACAAAATGATTCACTAGTCCAAAATTTAAATGTAGACACTGATTTCCTCATTAAGCTGCTAATACGATGAACATTTTTATAAGGCCATAATCTTGCATGATTTAAAAGTGTGTTATAACTTAACAAGTTGGAGAAAGTGATATCTTTACAAAATGACCCCATGAACATTTACTAGCCAGTCAGGCCAGTGTCTATGGAGATTTACTGGCCCGCCTGGATTTTTACCACGGGCTAGCAGGCCAGTGGTTATTTCAAACACTGATTGTATCAAATAATTTGTGTTTTCAGCTTCTGTTGGATCTAATGCAAAACTACCCTGGTAAATTACGAAAAATAACCCTTAGTGAAAATAAGGTGAAGAAGAGCACTGTTGCAGCCATCAAATCAATCCTGCGTATTAATGTTCCGGATGGTGCCAGTACTGATGCCAGTGAGGACGACTTCCTGTCTACCACTGCCAGTGTGAGCTCCTCACAGGGGCCCATTTCCTGTACCAGTGATGCGATGAGTGAGACCAGCACCTCTGCAACTGAAGTAACAGACACTGAGGACAGTGTACGAAGTGAGACAAGTACTGTGAAGGATCTGGTGTTGACGGATATCGAAGATCCAATTGAGAAAACACAGGCGGAGAAAGTTGATGCTTCTAAGAAGAAGAAGAAGAAGAAAGTGAAAGATGAAGAAGACGAAGATCTTGGGGAGGAGCTGAAGGAGGTGCCAGTATTTTGGTGATTTTCCTTTCAGGATTTGGTGCAGTTTGGTAGCTTAGTGGTTAAAACGGGGTTGATTCCCCACATGGGTACAATGTGTGCAGCCCATTTCTGGTGTTTCCCACCATGAAGCTGCTTGAATGTTGCTAAAAACATTGTAAAAGCCAGCTAACTCACTCACTTACCTGGATTCTGCCAGCTTTTGAACTTACTTCTGCTGATACATATTTTATCAGTGTCACGAAGCAAGCATTTTCATGCAAAACATTTATCTCAGAATTAACACGACATATTTTCTGGAAGTGTCTAATCACTTTATGAAATTGTACATGTTTCTATGCTACACATGCTGTGTAATATGTCTAAGGAGGCACAATGTCAAGCAGTGCTGAATATTGTCAACACAGAGATGGTGTTGCTGTGGCTCTGTAACAGGATTATGGTGTGTTGATCCTCATATTTATAACACATCAGGTCTTATGTCACGTAAGCATGTAATTCTTCCATGGTTGTGTATGCATAAATATGTACATTTAACATTGAATTTGAATCAAATCAGTTAGAGAGTTGTCAAATTATGATACAATGCCTCTGATTCAGATGACCAATGTGGTGACCTTTTTGCTTCCAGCTGTACTCCCTTGACATATACATAGAGAAATAAACATGATAAAGGAACACAGGAAAATTCAAGCGTTCCTTTATTAATTTCCAGTTTTCATCACCACAGCGCTATTCAAAGCTGGTGATGAAAACATTAAAGGAACACTTGAATTTTCCGGTGTTCCTTTATTTGTTTCTCTACGTATATTTAAGAGCAACCTCAACACCTGTATCTTTAAGACTTTCTGTAACTTGGGAGCACCCCTGAAAAAAGCTGCCAATGACTTTTTGCTGTGACATTTTGTTTGTAGCGCCATGAGCAAGCACTCTATGCCTGGAGTTTGGTGCAGTATAAGTGCACATATTATTATTCATTCTACAACTCGTCTCACAATTTTGCCTTGAGGCCAAGTGTCAGAGTAGGCTACATAGCTTTAAATACCTACCTTTTTTCTAACATTCTGTGAGAATGTTTCCTAAATGTAGGAAGGCTGACAAATATGTCTAATATATTACAAATCTTGTAAAAGGTTTATCATGTTTGTAAATTTATAACAACAAAAGGTGTTCTGTATTTCTTTCACATCTATGCTTTGGTACCACTTTTGCAGTTCTATGAATTGAGAGCAAGAATGAATTTAATTAGATCTGAACCAGATAATATCTGAACAATCACCTCACTGCCATGTTGTCTTCATGTAAGATTGTGTTCAGTCAAAAACAGGCCGATACTTCCAGCATTCACAGTATATATTTTTTACAGGTTTTTGGCCAATTATCAGAGGCTATTTTACATGTTGACTTGCACAGTTGTTGCCTTAATGTTGTGAGATGTTTGAACCACCATAACAGCAGCACAGTACTTACCCAGCCATGTTCCATGGGAGTTGTTATTATTCAACAATTCTTGTGAAATGATCACTCTGTAGAACAGGGTCCTTACAATATACACTGATATTTACACTTCATATGATGGTGGTTGTTCTGTTATTTAATTGAGGAGCATGGTTGTTACCGTCACATCACAGAGGATTATACACTATGCAACAGCTAAATATCAAATATGGCTCTTCTCCCACACAAGACAGATGTTATTAGAATGTCTGAATAACATGTAGTATTTGTTCATGTTTACTAACTTTAGTTGTGCCAAATTATTGTTATTTCTTACGTTTTTGTTTAAATACAATGTCTTTGTATATCTATGTTGATATATCAGGGACAGAATAATTCTGTTCATACATCTTCTCAAAGTACTTTGTAATCTTTCTGCAGATAAAACTGTGTCCATATTGATGTTTATCCAGACTTGTTTTGGAGACTTTTATCTTTAATCTACCAACAAACTGTACATCTCTGTTATCAATGTTCCTTACCATATGTACAAATATTCCTCTCCCAGGTCTAGAAGTGATCATTAATATTTCATCATCTGATTTACATCAAGAATTCACTTACTATGATTCTTTCGTCATTATGAGACCTTCTTAAAAATTCAATGGTTCCACTGAATCCTAAAAATTAAAAAGGGACAAAAATGTTATAAACTGTATTGATTGTAGTTAAATTAGCAAATTCTTGAACTATTTGTGTACTTTATGTACTTTAGTTATAAGATTTTTAGTTTCCTTTCTTTCACAGATGGAATAAATACTCATGTTACAGCAGCAAATGTTTGTTGATTTGACATCGGTATACCAAATGATGAAAAATTCCATTTTAGCTTGCTATGCATTAGTTGCATAATGTTCAGGCTTGCTATGCATCAGTTACTTAATGTTCAAGATTCTTGCACTTAAATAGACATGTGTGCATTTACACTAGTCTATACTAATGCTGGTGTTGGTCCACTAGAAAATCCATACCACAGTTTGACATAGATAATCCATGCTGATACTGTATACTAATTTCCAGCAGACCAGTCCCTGTTTAGTCTGCTTACTGCATACCTGTGAAGATCTGGGTAAGAATTTGTCTTCAGCAACCCATGCTTGTTGTAAAGGCGACAAACGGTATCGCGTGGTCAGGCTCGCTGACTTGGTTGACACGTCATCATATCCCAATTGCATAGATCGATGCTCATGCTGTTAAACACTGGATTGTCTGGTCCAGAGTCGATTATTTACAGACCGTCGCCATATGGCTGGAATATTGCTGAGAGCAGCCGGCAAAAACAATGGTATCTGAAAGCGTATTTTATTCATATCTCTTAAAAAAACTAGGGTCGGCACCAGAATTCAAGGGTCCGGTCAGGTAATAGAACCCCAACATTTGTTTTTTCGGCTTCAGTATAGGACCATGGTGAGAAAGTCAAAGTCATGAATTGGATGTTATTGTGTGGTCAGTCTAATCTCGTCGCAGTGTCTGATAACACAAACAGTGGAGATCCTGGCCGCAGTGCAACACTGAAACATTTGTGGAGATATAATTATACATGCTATCACATCTGGTATGTTGATATGAATCGGAAACAAAGCCATGTTTACAAAATGACAGAGAAAAGGATGTTATTTATTTTGTTTAAATTTGGAGTGATAAATAATGTGGAGAATCATCATTTTGGTGTACCCTCCATGTTGCCTACAGCTGTTAGGTGTACAGTTCCCAAAAGAGGCAGGTGTTTGGCCACGTGTCTTGGAGGAGCTGGTGTTGAGTCTGTAGTCCCTGGAAAGGCTGGTGTTGGGCCAATTGTCCCTGAAGACGCTGCTTTTGGGTCTATTGTTCAAGAGGCTGGAATTGGACCCAGAGTTTCAGTATAGGCTTGTGTTTGGCCTAATGTCTCCGGAGAAGCTGGTGTTGAGGCTATAGTCACAGAAAACCTGGGTGTTGGGCCTATAGTTCCAGAAGAGGTTGGTGTTGGGCCTATTGTCCCTGAAAAGGTTGCTTTTGGGCCCATAGTTCATCAAGAGGTTGGAAATGGGCCCAGAGTTTCAGTGTTGAGTCTATATTATCGAAAAAGGCTGGTGTTGGAACTATAGTTCCAGAAGAGGCTGGTATTGGGCCTATATGCCCAGAAAAGGCTGGTGTTGGAACTACAGTTCCAGAAGAGCTTAGTGTTGGGCCTATAGTTCCTGAAGAGACTTGCACTGTGGAATAAGTGCAAACACCACATTCCCCATTGTGCCCAGGCAGTGAAAGGAATGTCACCAGTTATCAGAAGAGTTATCTCCCATTTGTTAGTTGCCAGACTGAGGTGGGTGACAGCACTACACACTTGTAGTAACAGATATATAACAGGACATAAGATTTGCATATGCCATACTGATAACCTTCATAGATTACTTTCATTGAAGTTTGGATTGACAATGTCATTGTTCCCCAATAAACTGCCCCTCGAATGTACAAACATGTACAAACAGTAAAATGTTATCCCACACACAACAAAAACCTTCCCATTTCACTGATTCATCTCAATAATATAGCATGGTGACAAATGTTTTCTAGCATCTGACATAGCCTAAGTCTTCCTTGGTCATACCATACTAACATATATTGGACTGAGACAGTATTCTACATAGGTAATCAATTACAATGATTGGTTGATTTTAGCTTATTGACAATGGCATGACTACAATATGGGAAGATACCATCCCTAATAAATATTATCGATATAATCACATTTTAATTTTTGTCATCAATATACAATGACAATTTCAATCAGTTCATGTTTGTGCATTGTGTACATTGCGCAACTAAAGTGTCAATAATCATATTTGAGCTTCCGTGGTTTCATAAAGAGCTTAATCTCATCATCTGTGATCTTGGCCCTCCTTTCTCGATGTTCTCCAATAATTTTCTGTAAAAGTGTGATCAGCTCTTTTTTCAGTTCCCCTGTCAAAATCTGACCACTTGTATAACCCTGAAAGAGGAAACACCATTGTCAAAGTCATTCACAAAATCACATTCCAATTAATTAATATATATGTTTATGAAATAAAAGCAATTATACAATTCAGTAAACCTCATTATCAATGCATGTCTACTCAATGTCACCAACGGCCATATTCTACACTTTGGCAAAGATGTTGAAGAACACTTGATTCGGACAATAAACTAAAGTAAGATGATGGAATTGGGTGCTCAGGGTTTTACCTTGACTTACAAACATGGGAGTGAGTGAGTGAGTTTAGTTTTATGCCACACTCAGCAATATTTCAGCTATATGGTGGCGGTTTGTAAATAATCGAGTCTGGACCAGACAAATCCAGTGATCAACAACATGAGCATCGATCTGCGCAAATGGGATACGATGACACGTGTGAACCACGGTTCACAAACATGTCAGTCCAAGGACCCCGAATTATTAGTTTTAAGGATCCTTGCAGGCAATATGAGGATCCAGTGAAGTAACAGTTTAGAGAACTGTATGTTTTGATAATTTCTTTAGAGCCTGGAATGAATCATTGATCATGTGGACTGATGGATGAAATGATGCAAGTAACTGCTTTGAAAGAAACAACCCAACACTTAGTAAAGTCAAAGATGTGTTGGGGGTACAATGAATAATATTGTGCGTCCCTCCGGACATAGTGAATTTTTTTCTGCGCCCATTCTCTACATTTATGCATACTGGACACACAACCCCTACCTTCTTTTCAGTACTATGTACAAAAGGGCTTGTAAAGAATCAAGTCTGGCCAAACCAGTGCTAAACATGCTCAATACATTCAAGCAGTATTTATCTACACAGTGGCCGCTGAAGCCACACAATCCAAAATGATCAGTCTGCTCCTTAAACCATATCAATGGGGTTGGACACCATTGGGGTAGCCTTGTGGTTAAAGCGTTTGCTCGTCATGCCGAAGACCTGGGTTTGATTCCCCACATGGGTACAATGTGTGAAACCCATTGCTGGTTTCCACAACATGAATATGCTAAAAGCATTTCAACAAACAGAGAATTGCAAATATGCATGTCAAAACCAAGGATACTTACTTGTTTTATTTCTTCTAGCCTGGCATCATCTTCCATGAAGAATGTGAGGTACTGGTAGGACACATCAACACTGCAGTCGCCTCCCTTTTCTCGATGCTCCTCAACAGTTGTCTGACCTCCAGAGAATGCATACTTGTTGATCTGTTCATGAGGAGAAAACAAAACCATTTACAAAGTGTGACAGCAAAAGCAATAGATTATTGAAACTCAAGGAGTTCTATCTAACCATGCTAACAGTTATAACGTACATTGATTTTTTGGCATCAAAGTGGTGATTTACATGTCAAACAGTTAGGGCTGGCCATCGATATGCTAATCGATTATCGATAAATATCGGAGAAGTAACACTGAGCAAAAATCTAAAATAAATCAACACAATTCACATCAATGGTGAGAGGTGACATATGTAGGCTTGGATTACCAACATAACGCCATGCTGGACATGCATTGTAGGAGCAGCCCATGAATAAAGAGCTAACTTTGTATATTTTCTGAGTAAATTCATAAATTATTTCATCACAATAATTCATGTACAATATTATCGATTATACAATTTTCATATCGATAATCATTCCCATCAACGATATCTCTGATTATCAATCTTTTTAGCCAGCCCTACAAACAGTAATAACATTGTTCCTCAGTGTCATGCTGTATGAGAATCTCCAGCCATATTTAATGATATTTTCAGATAAGGAAACACAGCGTCAATTTCATGAGGTTCTGCATTCTGTCATGCGACTAAGTGTAGCTAATCCAGTAATGTGAATATGGATTTTTAGATGGATGTTTCGTTGGGGCAATGACATTGTAACATCACCAGTTACCTTTGTCTTGATCTGTTTATCTGTGTCAGTCAGGAATATCGATGAGTTGGTGTCACTGGCACTCATCTTGCTTTGAGCTCCTTGCAGTGCAGGGAAGAAAGTGGAGTGCATCAGAGCTGGCTTCATGCATCCCATCCTTGGTGCTACATCTCTTGTCATTCGGAAATACGGATCCTGGCAAAATATTAAAACATTTTGAACTTCAAAGGATGATGCTGGATAAGGTTCACATAATGAGAGTTGTGGAAAACTGGAAATGTTGGAATACAAATTGACTACTAATGATTGTTGAACTGTAAAGTTGAACTGTTATATCTACATCTATGATCAATCAGTTTGGGCAACAAACATTTGAATATCCTCAATAAGTCAATAGCACAGTGGATCAGAAAGGGAGAATTCACTTGGTCAATAGCACTGGGTCAGACCTGGAAGATTCACCCGGTCAACAGCCCAGGGTCAGACACAGAGAATTAACCTAGTCAATAGTCCAGGGTCAGATATGGAGAATTCACCTGGTCAACAGCCCAGGGTCAGACCTGGAAAATTCACCTGGTCAACAGCCCAGGGTCAGACATGGAGAATTCCTGGTCAATAGCCCACGGGAATCAGACAACTGTTGAACTCACCTGGTCAATAGCACAGGGGATCAGACAGGGGATGTTGTTCCTCCCATTGAAGATGTCTGGGAAGGAGGAACTGAAGCTGGGTGCAGCCTGGATGGAAGGGAAGCAGATCTTCCCAATGCAGTCGCTGTCACCAAAACCAAAACAGCCCTTCACCTGGTTGAATGTCACCAACTTTTGAAACTGACACATGTTCTTGTAAAACCCTCTGCTGTTTCTGTGGAAGAGAAATTATATACATTTGAATTGGTTTATCAACTTGAGGGACAAAACGTGAATAAATAAAACTGATGCCATGACCTTGAAAGAAATTTGACAAATTTATACAAATCCAAGACCTTTCTTACAAGTGAACACAGAATCATCACACATCGATACAGGCTACTACGATTCACTCACATATTCAGTGAATCAAACTGTATTCTTTCTTGAATTCAATTTGATTTTTACAATCACTGGAATTGAATACTAATGATTTTTTTTAAAAAGTGTGGTTTTTACTTCAATATGTTCAATTTGTCTGTCTTTTATAAAAGCCATATATGCAAGATGGAACATATCAAAAACAGGCAGGAACAATCAACACTTTTCATTTGAAAGAAACATGGCCAAAACATATATAATTCATTTTGTTATTTTTTTCACTGAAAATGATGAATACACCATCAACTGGATACATTTTATGGCATTCATGAAAAATATTAGCTTATTTGTGATATGTATTGCATTTGCCTCATTATGGATTCATTGCAGCCCTAGTGTATGTTGCATCTTGTTCAAATCCCATGTTATGCACTCAATAACCTTAAGCTAACATAGCAGTTGACAAAAACAAAGAAACTCTTTCATTATAATTACTAAGCAGGCGAGGTGAGGTGAAATGGGGTTTAACGTCGTACTTACGATTATTTCACTCATATGACGACGTGCATGCGTGTGTATGTGTGGCTGCTTGTACTAGCCCAGACCTAAGCTGGTTTTATAGTGCTAGCCCACTGAGATACCATGCCACAGTTAAGCATGAATACCCTATTCAGACACATTATACTGATTCCGAGCTGACCAGTCCTTGTTGTACCCATTAATGCTGAGTGCCAGGCAGGGACCAACAAGTACCATATTTTAACGTGTTTTGTTATGACGCAGTTAGGAATTAAACCCGCGACCTTCCACTCTACGGGCAGACACTCTAACCACTCCACCACAGAGGCGGTCCATTTTATTACTAAGGAGTATAAGGTAAGCACAATTACCCAATGTACTCAAAATCACTGAAGACAAAAGTCTTCTCTGGGTCAAATCCACAAGCTATAATGTCCTTTGTGTTTTCATATGATAGCCTGATCGCCTCTTCAATTGAGAAGTCCTTCCACAGGAACTTCTCATCATCCGTCATCTGTATGACTAACGGGACATCGAAAGTCTCCTGTAGCCACCTAAACACACAGAAAACGAAAGAGTGATATCCAAGCAAATGTAAGGGGATGGGACATAATGATTGGGCTGATACAAATAAATATAAAAAAGATTAGGTTTTCAATCTATCACATGTTAATTGGGTATCTCAGAAGGTCATCAAATCCAGACTAGCAATACAAAACAAACACCTTAATAAACCACTATGCTACCACCCACACCTGAATATTATCACTATCATATCAACAAAATGAAATAAAACAGCCCTTGGTACAGGTACAAATTATCCACTTTGAATTATCCAACTGTATGAGTGAGTATGGTTTTACACTGCTGTATGAAATTATAGTTTATACTTACTTTGTAATGACAAATGGAATAAGATGTCCCAGGTGCATGGCCTCTGAGGAAGGTCCACGACCGGTGTACAGGTAGAACGGCTGCTTCTTCTCATACATGTCCAGTATTTGGTGCAAATCCCTGGAATTATGAGATTATACATCTTAAACATTCACGAATACTCTCAAGCATCCAATGCTATTTTATAGTTGTTTTAAATCGAACAAAGTACATATGACTTACGTATAACATATATATGTTGTCAATTTTCAAATATGATATGATTTCTGAATAACAATGGTAAGATGGTAATTTTATGATAGCTGTAAGTATATAATGACCATTGTGGTCGAAAGAACTTCCTATCAGCTGATTGATAAAAAAATACACATACTATTATGACGACAGCAGTTGCCATTCGTAATTATAAATTACTGGGACAAAAAACATGTGCCAATCTCTTGTTATGTCTATGATTAAGAATAAAACATTTCTGAGTATGTGTAACAATGGATGACATATATATTTATGAAAATCTATCATCAGCTGATCACACATCCTGAGATATCTGCTTTTACCTGTGCGAGAAAAAAATTCCCCTTCGTATAAAATGATGGACTGGCTTCCCAGTTACTCTCTCCATTTTGTCAAGGAGTGCCTGGTCAATCTTGGAGCTTCCAAATCTTACTGCAAAAAGAATGCCATTGAAATAATCATTTAGAAGAAGAAGAATTCACCAAGTAAATGGGAAACAGAGCAGATCTGTAGCAAATATCATTACAATTTTCAAAGAGTAATTATAGAAAAAACATTCCATGTTGATATACTACACCAAAAACGATTAGGAATCACAAACTTTCGGGGGTACATGTTTTGTAGTGTAAACTAACTAAATAATTTCATAAAAATATCCCCCAAAATATCTGTAAAGAACTAACTTGTTTTATGACTAATCATGCTAATACTAGTAATAGCTAACATTATGATAAGTAAATATAACCTCTACTGGCCTGAACATATGTATAACAAGACAAATAAATATGAGTTTTCATGATTCGTTATATGTTACTGCATTGAACACAAAATCAGAATACAATGTTTAAACACTGAATTTAGGAAAATACAACTTTAAATTAATACCCTCTTTAAAAAAAATAATGACTGTTTTCCAATTTGCTTGCCCGGGGCTCTTAGTATAGAATCCTGGACAAGTCTATGTCATCGAATACACCAAGATACTGTAGTAGGACATGTGTGGTAGATACCACATTACTGGTCAGATGACGTGTGGTCCCACATGATCACTAAGTCTCTCTAATCATGATCTCTCATTCTACATGTTCTAAAATGACTTCAGTAAATACTGGATTGTGATTGGTTTATTAAATTCATTCATAGGTATATATATAATCACTTTATATACCTCCGATTTTCAACACAGTATGTATTTTTTTTAAATCATAATAACGTGGTTATGGTAGAATGGAGACAAACATACAGTTGGAAAATAGCAGTATATAACAAAATTACGCGTCAAATTTCGAGCTATTATAATTTCATTATATATCTCTGATTTTCCAACAGAGTATGTTTATCTCCTAATAACATAAGCCCCCATAATTCTTATGGATTCTAATAGTCAGTTTGGTAAACTGAACAATTAATAATAACATGACAATTCAAACAAATCAATAATTTCTTTTTTTCAAACTGACAGTCTTCCTAATTTACTGTACTCGTTGAGATGGTTGGAAAAGTGTTGGTCATTCTGACACAAAACACGGAACCCCTCTGGATTTTGACTGTCTATGCATTCATAATCTAAAATGTATTAAAAAAATAGGATGTGCCATCATGTGGTCTTTTCCGGTCCTTCGATTTCATATCCTATGTAAGTATGTTAATGCCGGTTTGGATATCAATGTATTATAATAACTCACCTATCAATTTATCATAATCGATGCCTTTCGCAGATGAACTTGCAACATTCCACGGATCAACAAAATCCTCTTCTTGGGTCTGGCCATCACCAATACTCATGTTCTGAACAGCTGCGGATTGTTCATCAGCCATATTGGCTTTTTGCTCACGCAAACAAACTAAACAGTCTTTTCGGTATGAGATATAAAAGCGTAGCTCACTTTCTTTTCACAACTGTTCCGATCATATATTGAACACCTGTCTGATTCATTTATATCATTTCCGATGTTGAAATAATGTAGGAAGTATACTTAGCGAACCGGTACTGACATATCGTATACACGTGTTGCATCATTCGTGCAGACGATGGCGACGCCTGTAACACGCACTGTGATTGGTAGGTCACGCCTATGAGATTTGTGAACTGTATCATCATTGGTTATTAATAGGCGGATTTTCAAAATGGCTGCGCCCATGATGTTTCTCATTTCACGTGTAATGATCACGTTTTAGCACGGCAGTTTGTAACAAGGACGTATATACGTCTTTGGTTGTAATCAATGATGAAACTTGCTGGCAATGTTTAAAACCTCAATCGTAGGCAACAGTTTCAATCGATATCAGCTGAGCTTTGTTTTCGAAAGTGAGTGTCCATTCGCTATATGTTACTGCATTGAACACAAAATCAGAATACAATGTTTAAACACTGAATTTAGGAAAATACAACTTTAAATTAATCCCCTTTAAAAAAAAAATAATGATTGTTTTCCAATTTGCTTGCCCGGGGCTCTTAGTATAGAATCCTGGACAAGTCTATGTCATCGAATACACCAAGATACTGTAGTAGGACATGTGTGGTAGATACCCAATTACTGGTCAGATGACGTGTGGTCCACATGATCACTAAGTCTCTCTAATCATGATCTCTCATTCTACATGTTCTAAAATGACTTCAGTAAATACTGGATTGTGATTGGTTTATTAAATTCATTCATAGGTATATATATATAATCACTTTATATACCTCCGATTTTCAACACAGTATGTATTTTTTTTAAATCTTAATAACGTGGTTATGGTAGAATGGAGACAAACATACAGTTGGAAAATAGCAGTATATAACAAAATTACGCGTCAAATTTCGAGCTATTATAATTTCATAATATATCTCTGATTTTCCAACAGAGTATGTTTATCTCCTAATAACATCAGCCCCCATAATTCTTATGGATTCTAATAGTCAGTTTGGTAAACTGAACAATTAATAATAACATGACAAATCAATAATTTCTTTTTTTCAAACTGACAGTCTTCCTAATTGTTAAATAATAACTCACTACGGTACTCTCGTTGAGATAGTTGGAAAAGTGTTGGTCATTCTGACACAAAACACGGAACCCCTCTGGATTTTGACTGTCTATGCATTCATAATCTAAAATGTACTAAAAAAATAGGATGTGCCATCATGTGGTCTTTTCCGGTCCTTCGATTTCATATCCTATGTAAGTATGTTAATGCCGGTTTGGATATCAATGTATTATAATAACTCACCTATCAATTTATCATAATCGATGCCTTTCGCAGATGAACTTGCAACATTCCACGGATCAACAAAATCCTCTTCTTGGGTCTGGCCATCACCAATACTCATGTTCTGAACAGCTGCGGATTGTTCATCAGCCATATTGGCTTTTTGCTCACGCAAACAAACTAAACAGTCTTTTCGGTATGAGATATAAAAGCGTAGCTCACTTTCTTTTCACAACTGTTCCGATCATATATTGAACACCTGTCTGATTCATTTATATCATTTCCGATGTTGAAATAATGTAGGAAGTATACTTAGCGAACCGGTACTGACATATCGTATACACGTGTTGCATCATTCGTGCAGACGATGGCGACGCCTGTAACACGCACTGTGATTGGTAGGTCACGCCTATGAGATTTGTGAACTGTATCATCATTGGTTATTAATAGGCGGATTTTCAAAATGGCTGCGCCCATGATGTTTCTCATTTCACGTGTAATGATCACGTTTTAGCACGGCAGTTTGTAACAAGGACGTATATACGTCTTTGGTTGTAATCAATGATGAAACTTGCTGGCAATGTTAAAAACCTCAATCGTAGGCAACAGTTTCAATCGATATCAGCTGAGCTTTGTTTTCGAAAGTGAGTGTCCTGTGGCTAGTGTGCTTATCCCCCAGATAGCATTCGGACGTTGGCAATGTTGGCAAAACCATTGCCAACGTTGTATTGGGCCAACGTCTGAATGCTATCTGGATCATTGTCACCCGTGAAGATCCGTAAGAGGCGGCTAACGGGATCTGGTGGTGAGAATCAAGTCATCGTATCGAACTGCGTTGATAGATGCTCATGCTCTTGACCACTGGGTTGCATGCCCTCGATTATTTACAGACCACCGCAATATATAGCTAGAAAGCTGGTGAGTGCGTTGTTCAACAACCAGCCAACCAACTTATTTACATTCCGTCCCATATAGCAGGAATATTGCTGAGCATGACATAAAACAGAGACCATATACCGATATCGGTATATGGTCTCTGCATAACACAACAAAAAAAAACAACACTACATATGATAGAAAAATCATTAAGTGACACTTTTCTAGTTTTCTATAGGTGTTTGCCCCTATATATAGCAGGAATATTGCTGAGTGCAATGTTTAACAACAAACAAACAACACTAGATACATATGATAGAAAAATCAGTAAGTGACACTTTTCTTTTCCATAGGTGTTTGTGAGAGGCATATCATCACCAGAATGGAACTTCTTCAGTCATATGATGTCAGTTCTGGAGAGAGTGAAGAAGATAACGAAAATGTCAACAATAATAAATTAAAGTGTGAAGCAGAAATGAAGAAGGGCAATGTTCAAGAGATTCAAAAGGATACCAACTATTTTGGAATAGAACACAATAGCAGCTACAGCGATGACAGTTCATGTGATGGCAGCAACAACAAAGATGGAGAGTTGGAGATTGGTGGATTGAGAGTTGAAATACCTGATAGTGATTTCTGGAGAGAACTTAAAGCTGAAGATGTCAAACAAATAAAGTCTGATGCAAGCAAGATACTGTCACATCTACCATTAGAAAAATCTGAAAGTTCTCCTGCAAAATGGAAACAGGTTGGGTTGAATAAAAACAGTCAGACAGTACGTGAACAATCTTCAAAGGAGACAAAACTGGATTATTCCTCCAAATCAAATGAAACTGTAAGCTTGCAAAGAAAAATATTTTATATTCATTCAAAAATCCAACCCAAAATGCATACCCTGTCATCCAATTTCCCCCCAGAAAAACTGGACCGACACATTGATGCTCATGGGGGTGTTGTAAACAGAGTGAAGTGGAATGTTCCATCATTTAGTCACCTTTTCCTGTCAACAAGCATGGATTCCTGTGTGAAGATCTGGAATGCATTCTCTGCTGAAAGTGCCTGTGTGAGAAATCTGATGCATCATGGGAAGGCAGTAAAAGATGCAGAATGGAGCCATGATGGTCGGAGCATACTCAGTTGTAGTTACGATAGAAGTGCTGTCGTCACCGATGTTGAAACTGGTAAATATGAAACTTTTTTGTTTAGGATTATCAGTTCTCATGGAGCATTTGTTGTCAATTTTTGGTCTTTATCTTCAGTATTTAGTTATCAGTGAATGAGTTTGGTTACTATCATTTATTTGAACAGTATTGAAGTCATATCGTGTCATTCTGTGTGAGGAAAGCTTTGATGATGCAGGTCTTAAAGTTTTACCATTTTGGTGCCGACAAACCTAAAAATATAATCAGGCGAAAGGGAATCGAACTGGCAATCGTATATTTCTGGTGTGCCCATGAAGTGACAGCTCTGGAGAGGAAATAGCAAGACTTCTGATAACTGGACCACCCATGACCTCCAGTGAGTTATTAAAAACATGATCATAGTTTTAGGTCAGTTAACCCCTCAAAATTGTCATAATGGAATTGAGTTTTGAGAAGTTCTTTTCTCTTGCAACAAAGGTGATGCTCTTCGTCCAGACACCTTCATGATTTGACCTTTGACCTGATCACAAAAAGTTGATTGGTTGTTGATATCATCCTCATATTAAACACTTAGAGACTAAATATATAAAGATTCCTGCATCTGCTTCTTGGCAAAGACCGAAGACCAGCATATCGTTTCTTTTTCTTCTGCACTGAGCTCACTCTTACTTCACTGAAAGTTTGAAGAACTTATTCTTTGACATAAATACAACATTTAGTATGAATGTCTTCTGATCTGAGATTTTTTTGGCAAATCAGCTGGTTAGAGTGATTGCAGCTTCATGTACCAGATTCAGTTCCTGATGTATTCTCCAAGGGGAGCTGAGAATGAATAACCATTATAACTATTGTCTCCGGTTATAATAGTGTATGAGTACCAGGAATATTCAACATGAACCAGTTCTTGAAAGACATTGTAGCGTTGATGTTCCTGAAAACTGACTCTTTGTATCAGATCCTACTTTGCAATTTCTTAATACTGTACATAATTAAAAGAAAATATCTCAGTTTATTACTCTGGTGTTAGTCTGTCTCACAGTCCCTGAACCATATCATTTTCCCTACAGCCTAGCCCTCCCTGCAATGCTAAAGCCCTAAATGAAGCAAGTATAGAATTTCTCAGGTTCTGAATGCCTGGTCTCCCTGGAGCTTAACACAAATGAGTGTATTTGTTGGGTGTATTTGTTACTGTCAAAATTATATATATTCAGAGACTAAGCGTTAGTCTACTCTGGTGTACATATATTCAATTAATATTTTGACAAAGTCTTGAAACATTTGGGGGATGAGTTCTTGTTCATGAGTTCTGATTGGTTGTCAGGGAAGCAAGTGTGCAAACTGGAGCATGCTGGGTATGTGACCTGTGGGAAATTCAACCCTGTGAGGAGAAGTCAGGTAGTTACTGGCTCGACCAACAGTCTACAGCACTGGGACATCCGAACTCCTCACACTGCATGTAAGAACTTCCAGTACCATGATGACTTGGGGCAGGTACATATATTGCATATTACAAATCATGCAGTACATTTTTACTTTTCAGAAATATTTAGCTAACTGATAACTTTACACAAAGGCTCGCTGACTTGGTTGACACATGTCATTGGTTCCCAATTGCGTAGATCGATGCGCATGCTGGTGATCACTGGATTGTCTGTTCCAGACTTGATTATTTACATACTGCCGCCATGTAGCTGGAATATTTCTGAATGCTGCGTTAAACAGCAAACTAGCCAATCCTCTTGCTTTCACAAAAGCCGAATAGTGGGGATAGTTCTTGGATAGGAAACAGTGGACTGTGGTACAAATGATTGTTTATCTTTGTATTCACATAGTTTTGTTCAATTTGTGCTTGTTGGAGTATGTGGACATAATGGAAATTATCAGGTGATGTTCATTGTTCCTTTTGGAAGGCGGAAGGTGGGGTAGTCTTATTCGTTCATCACGTTCACATCAGTTTTGATTCCCCACATAGGTACTGTGTGTGAAGCCCATTTCTGGTGTACCCTGCCATGATATTGCTGGAATATTACTAAAAGTAGCATAAAATAAAAACTCACTCCTTATTGATGTGTTATTTATTATTCTATTCTCCAAGGCAGATGTTACCTTCAGTTAGTGACTAAGGACATTTGTGCCACTGTTATCTATAGAAGAGTTTTGGACAAGTGAATGGTTTGACCATTAGGTCCTTTCGAGTGTAACCTGAAATAACAAAAACATTGTCTTTCTCAATTACATTCATACTACTACCTTTTCCTGTTCTATTTTATCTCACTCAGGGATAGAAATACTTTTTTTTCTAAGTGTGCCTTAGGGCACCATGTAAATATTTTAGGTGTGCCTTTCAGAAATCAAGTGTGCACACATGTGTTTAGAATAAATGACTGTAGCAAAGATGATGATCTTTTGAAATTTATTGTCAGAAAACAACAAATGTAACCAGTTTTCTGTTATCACTGATATGTGTTCTGTTTAAGATGGCTTTCTTATGTTTCATTTGTTCTGCTTTCCCAGCACCTTTAATAGCTAAGAATTGTGTGAGAGGTTCACTTTTTTCAATATATCTAACATACACAATTTCCTCTTCAATAACTGAACTATCAGTACTCCCAACACTCTAAATGAAAAAACAACCAGATTTCTTTACATGAACCATCATAATTCCAGTGATTTCCTGGGCGATAAAGTCAATAAATGGTTTTACTTGGTTGTCATTTGCATAAAGTGTTTTGTTTGGTTATTAAGTGACTAAAGGTGTGTTATGTCTTAGGCGTGCCATAAGGGCACCGAGAACATTTTTTATCTGTGCCATTTTGATATTTACCGTGCCATGGCACGCTAATATATGGGGTATTTCGAACCCTGTCACTTTAACTTCGCCATCAGCAGCTAGCATGAGCGTATTGTGTTTATATTTCTTGATCAGTGCCATGGTTTGACTGCCATGTCCATACCTGAATGTGTATGACACTGTGTGCCTGGTTGTCTCCAGATGCAGGATGTACTGTTCACTAAGGATGGGAACCAGTTCTTCTCCTGCAGCGATATGGTGACGCGCGACTCTGCTGACCGCAACGTTATGGCCTGGGACTTCAGCTCGGGAGTACCCCTCTCAAACCAAATATACCAGGTATGGAAGTTTGAAAACAAGACGTATTACAAAGATATTATTGATAAAAATTAGAAAATAATGTTCATAATCTACTGAAGTCTACACTGTAGATTTCATGTTCATATTTTTACATTTTTAACCAACATCATGGCAGGTTCGTCCATTAAAAAATATGGAAGCTATTATTTGTTTGCTAGTTTGTGTTTGTGATCTGTAGGAGCGGTATGCATGTGTTCGACTGAAGCTGCATCCTACAAGTAGCCACTTCCTGGCCCAGAGTCATGGGAGATACGTGGCCATATTCTCTACAAGCAGACCCTACAAGATGGTCAGATCGAAGAGGTTTGAGGGACACACCGTAAGTCATCCAACTTAAACCTGTCTACTGTCTAGTAATAGTTACAGTGATTGCTACTTGGGTTTGTATAATATTCAGTGTAGAAATCATTTGTCTATGTGACCAATCCAAACAAAGTATAATATTTCTATGACCCTCAGAGACATTTTTACTTTTGTTTTAATATTTTGGGGTGATTCTTTCCTGAATCCATCTTGACACCCCACTTCAACCACCGAATAAATTATTGCTCCCATTGAGACTTTACTATAATTGACTGAGTAATCTTTATGCATAAATTCCAGATTAAACAGTGTCCTATCTAACAGCCACATACTGTTTTGTTTGTTGGGATATGACATGAGTCAACCAAGTCTGCGAGCCTGACCACCCGATCCCATTAGTCGCCTCTTACAACTAACATGGGTTGCAGAAGACAACATACTACATACTGATGATTATTGTACTTCTCTTTCAGTTGCTAGGATACAGCATAGGGTTTGATGTGAGTCGTGATGGCAGCCTTGTCGTCAGTGGGAGTTCTGATGGCAGGATTCACTTCTACGACTACCAGACCGGCAAGCTGAAGAAACAGCTCACTAGTGGCCTTGACGTGTGTATGGATGTGATGTGTCACCCTGTCTTAGCCAGCACAGTTGTGTGTTGTAGCTGGGATGGAGGCATCAGGATATTCCATTAGATGTGACCAGATTTATCCCATTTTATCATGTTGAAGACATTAGAGGTTGCAGGGAGCTCTCAGGGAATGAACAATGGCAAAATGTGGACTGAATATGTTGAGAATCTCTCCCAATGTCTTCTGAGATCAAATATGTCAAGAAGTGTGGATAGAGGTTGCAGACAGCTCTTAGGGAAATAGCAATGGCAAAATGGTGAGAATCTCTCCCAAATGTCTTCTGGGATGTGAAGAAGTGTTGATAGAGGAGGTTGCAGACAGCTCTCAGGGAACAAACAATGTCAAAATGTGGACTGAATATGTTGAGAATCTCTTCCAAAAGTATTTGGGGATCAAATATTAAGAAGTGTTGAAAGTTCAAATATGCAAGAAGTGATGAGATGCCTTCACTCTTATCAATGAGTCTATTGTATTTGAACTTGGAGGACGTTGGGATGTGAGATTCTGTTTATAATCTTAGTCATGGCAAAATGGTGAGAATCCTCCAATTCTTTGTAAACTGTAATCACCATAATCTTCAGTGTGAATAGTGCAGCTAGACTGTGAATAGTGCAGCTAGACTGTGAATAGTGCAGCTAGACTGTGAATAGTGCAGCTAGACTGTGAATAGTGCGGCTAGACTGTGAATAGTGCTGCTAGACTGTGAATAGTGCTGCTAGACTCTGAATAGTGCAGCTAGACTGTGAATAGTGCTGCTAGACTGTGAATAGTGCAGCTAGACTGTGAATAGTGCGGCTAGACTGTGAATAGTGCAGCTAGACTGTAAATAGTGCGGCTAGACTGTGAATAGTGCTGCTAGACTGTGAATAGAACAGCTACAGCTTCGGTGGCCGAGGGAATAGTGATGTCATTTCATTGTGATACCATGGCAACTGATGATGTCACAATGGTCAGTTCAGCAATGTCTCATCCTACAGATACTGTGGATGCAAGTTTGGAATATGACATCATTCTAAGACATTCTTCAAGATCAAAAATATATTTGCAAGTCAACAGGACTTAACTCAACCTGAGGACAGTTGGGAAGGTTACAAGTTAAGTGTTCACCCATCATACCTACGACGTGGGTTCCATTCACCACTTGAGTCCAGTAAGTAGTTACAGTTTTTGACATTTTTGGTGCAGTCCCTGCAATGAGATTTCCTATATACTGTATAATTGTCAACCATCCCCGTCAGCCACCTTCCGATGACTGATGTCAACTAGTCTATATTTAGATATAATCGATACAGAATGCCTCTGATTGGGTGAAATTATAACTGAAAACCAATTGCTGTGATGCCCCCTCAGTCACATGATCATTTTGGACCAATCCGCGGATGCCAGGTTTTAAACAGAGTCATCCGATTGGACTTGGATATTATAGGATATGTTATGCTTTGGGGAATGATCCGGATATTTACACGTTTATTCTAAGCAAGAAATCATCGAGGGTATCTATTACTCAGACAGGCTAAAACACTCTCTCATATTCCCGATCAATGACACCAACGATATACATTATATACATTTTATGTTCCAAGTGCATGCGGAGGGAATGTGGGTTGGGGATCTATCCCACGTTCACTCTTACAATAGATCAAAGAAATATATATATATATATATGTACAATCACAACATTTCACAAAATCAGATGCTTTAATCCAAGAATTGAATTTCTTAGGCCAGTGAAGCCATTTACCGTAATGTTGTTCATTAGGTCCTTTCCCCTGGTCTTCAGTATGGTCTCCACCTTTTGAAGTTTGGATTGGTAGAAGGTGCCCTGAATTTCTTCATTACTATAATCTTTGACACGGTAGACCGGTAGCCATCCACGTAATAGCTTCAGAGATATAGTGAATATTTCCCCAGTCCATTTCTCATCATATTCTCTGCTAAAGATGTTCCTGAGATGACTCAAACAAAACAAAATGGTTTAGTCTCTTTCACAGCCTGTTGCTTGGGTTAATATGTACGCCATTAAATAGTGGTTTCTTTGCCTTCGGTCACTTTAGAGGGTGTTATACCGATGGTTCTGTATGTTTCATTATAACTTTCGGCAAGAGTCTGTAGTTTATCTGTATACTCGTATGACTGTTTGAATGAGAAATATCAATGCAGCCTCATTTTTATCATCTTTAGAACACGTTCAACCACTGTCACTTTGGTTTCATTGTTGGTTAAGAGATGCCGAATATTTCCATCTTTCAACACTGTCTGTACTTCTTTAGCTCGAAACTCTTGTCCTCGATCAGTTCTTATTCTGGTGGATTGTCTCCCTTTGCTGAATATGTCTGTAAAATTTTGGGCTATGGTACAGCCTTGTTTTTCTTTCAAAGGTCTTAGCCAGAGGTATCTGGAGAACACATTGATGACTACCAAGATATAAGTGATTCCACTGTTATATTTAGGACACTTGACCATATCCATGTGATCAGCCGACCACTGATCGTCTATACCAGTCACGATGATTCTGTTTCTAGTGAAAGTTCTTCTCACAGGACATTGAAGACTAATCTAGCTTGTTTGTGAGATTTCCTGATTTCTTCTATTTCTTCAAGAGTTGATTGTCTCTTCAGTTGGTACTGAAGTGTCTTTTTGTCCTTTCTTTGTTGTTCAAGGTAAGTTTCATACATGCTTCTAGCACAGGAAGCACTAACAAGTAGCTGACTTGTAATTGTAATTGGCACATTCATCACTCAACCTGCATTTTTCACATGATCACAAATTATTCTCTGGGCTACTACAGATTGGCCATGCAAATTTTCACATTCAAGCTCTTTGTTTACAGAAAAGCCTCGCTCTACTGTAGCTTGCCCATGAGACAACACAAGCAGGATCTTTACAACTGTGAACAGCTTCTCATACTTGGGAGTTGACATATATTTCATGTAGAACTCATCCAGTCTGTCTTTGTACTGCTCAAAGTTCAGAAAATGCTGAGCCCATGACTGGTATCGCATCAACAAACATGCCATATTGATTCAAGATGACATCACAGTCACCTTCATTGACCCTTTTCCTTTCGAACAGAAGTCGAATGAGCTTTTTGAACCTGAGGAGGCCAAGAATCTGTGAATATTGTCTTGGATAAGATAGCCATGCAATGTAGTACACAGCTAGCAAATGGAAGACTGACTTTCTGAATGTTGGGCATGATGAGAGGTTCACATTATCAGCTTTTACAAGAGCATGTGTTACTGCATCATTGTTCACAAACACCATCAGACGTGGGGATTGTTTGTTTGACACAGTTTACAGCTTTGTCTACTTCATCAGATGAAAGATCCTGAAAAAAATGATACAAACAATACAACAACCCCAATGAGTTTGTTTGGCATAGTGTAAATTTTCCAAAATATATAAAGCGTATATGTATATATTTGCTTTCATTATTATGACCCCTAAATGAGATTCTAAGTGTGCCTCAATTTGCTGTGCAGAACTGTATAGTTCTTAGAACACAAGAATTCTGTGGATTGTAATCTGGATTCACACTGAATACATTTCTAGGTTTGTCAGCCCCAATCCGTGCTTTTGGGTTTAATCCTACTCCCGAATTAATCTGATATTCCCTTATAATTCGAATGCTGTTCAGCATGGGTTAAACTCACACTCTTAAATATGATGGGTCATAAACGAGACAACAGCTGAAGTATATTATTACTTACGCGGTGGACTGTTAAAATAGAAGCAGTTTTTCTTCCCTTTCCCCGGTCATATGCAGTTTCTTTTTCTATCCAAAGAAATGAAGAGATATCTGCCTTCAGACCCTGTGAAAGGAAAACGTATTGCCATTTAGAACTTTTAACAAGACCATGGGATAAACACATTACACGACAATACTCACTGCTAAGATGTCCCATTACCTATCTCCATTACCTATCGGCTAAAAGGAATAACCAGAATGTGGCGATCTGATAAAAAGTCTGATTTTCCTTTTACCATCAAGTTCATTATGATCATTACCTTTGGAGGTGCTGAGCTACTGATTTCATTAACTTTCGTACATTATACAACACACTTTTGACATACCTCCTTTTTATCTCCCTTCTGAAGTGACCTAGTGATATCAAATAGAGAGTCCAAGTTTTTCTGGGCATTTGTCCATATAACATATCTTCCATGTTTTGTTGAAACATATTCAATGGCTTTTCAGTTCTCCAGAAACGACACCTACCCAATTTCAGCAAGGTCTAACTTGTTTCCATTCCAACAGGGAAAAATCAGATTTTGAAATATATTCCAAACACGCAAGGGCACCACGTCAGCCTTTGTTAAATGTACCATGTTTGCATGAGAAATCTGTCATGGTTTCAAGTTGTGCTTGAAATCCGTGTGTCATGTCCAAGTCGTTTCCATATAAATCAAGGAAGCTAGCAATGCCCAAACTCTCTCAATAACAAAACGCTTCAGGTTCTCTTTGATATATCTTACAATTGTTTTTTTGTCGAAATAAGTAAAAATAAATTAATTATGCCCTGCCAACAACATGATGACAGATGCACTGACGTAGGGATGGAAACTTGCAGACACAGACGAGGTGTTCACTGCATCCCTTACATTATATAGTCCATCAAGTTATCTGTCACTCGTCATCAACAGTGGTGTGTACTCCTCTTCCTGGAACTTGACTGGCATCAAATTCAGTGGACATGCATTCCAGGTTTACTTCTTCATAGGGACCGCCTCCGTGGTGTAGTGGTTAGAGCGTCCGCCCGGAGAGCGGAAGGTCGCGGGTTCGATCCACGACTGCGTCATACCAAAAGACCTTAAAATATGGTACTTGTTGGTCCCTGCCTGGCGCTCGGCATTAATGGGTACAACAAGGACTGGTCGGCTCGGAGTCAGTATAACGTGTCTGAGTGGGGTATTCATGCTTCACTGCGGCATGGTATCTCAGTTCGCTAGCACTATAAAACCAGCTTCAGTCTGGGCTAGTACAGGCAGCCGCACATACATGGTAATTATTCATTATTATTATATTAATCATGCATACCCAGCAAGATGTCCACCTAGGAATCATGTATTGATTCAACATAAATACCATAAAAGTATTCTTACATCATGTGCTTTAGTGTCAAATTTTCAAGCCTCTTGTCCACTTTGCATTTGAAGAGTCGTAACATCCCTGAATATATCCTCCTGTTTGAAAAAAGAAATCCAATTTTTACATAATGGTCAATTTTTGGTTGCATGTGTATGTACCAT